GGAGGGCCCCTGGGTGGTGCGGAATGCCCCAAGCCTCAACGATGGGCCAAAACATTGGGGTTCAAATCTCCCTGGAGGGTCCCGGAGGACAGGCCCACCTTGAAGGTGCCTCGGAGCGGTGGACTTGAGGGCAGCTGGCAGAGACAACTATGGTGATGAAGTTTGCGGTTTGCAACGGGAACCCCTGCCCTGGCCCTGGTAGGGCGCTCAGCTGCAGACCGGCTGACGTGCACTAGCTAGTGTCCTAGTAAGTGGGAGCCCACCACCCCATAACCGAGTCCAGCTGCCCCATAGGGTCTTCCAGGCGGCCATGGTCATGGGGGCGATTGCAGGCCTTTCTCATGTAGCTCTGCAACCGCCCGCCTGCTAGTGAACAGCTGCACACACTCACACCCCCCACATACTCACACACCAAGCAGACACACACCCAGCACACACACACACAGCACACACACACACACTGACACACAGCCACACACGTGCACCCAGACACACAGCCACACACAGGTACACCCAGACACACACACACACACACAGACACACACCCAGACACACACGTACACACACACACTGACACCCAGCCACACACAGGTACACCCAGACACACACACACACAGACACACACCCAGATGATTGCCACAATTGCTGGAAGGAGTTGTTGAGGTCTCGCCAATGGGGCAGTGGCCATTTGGAGCCGAGGGCAGAACCTGTTCTGGGCGCAGGTCTGCGTGGCCCCGTGCCCCCAGCCTGGCCAGCATCCCAGCCTTCTCCACGAGCTGCGGTCCTGGCTTAATCCTTGCCGAGTGTTTTCTTTCCATAGATCAGATTTCTCATTTGTTAATAAGCACGGCCCCCAAGCCACTTGAAGTCAGCTGTTGTGGCCGCAGGAGCCACGGGGCTTTGCGTGCGTTACTGAGCTGAAGGCCTGCTGCCTTCATGGGGAGTGGGGGTGGCTTTCGAATTGTCTGCCAGGCTCAGACCTGGTGGGGGTGGTGCCAGTGGCCCACAACACCCCACAGCAGTGCAGACCATGCCTCTTCCTGTTAAGACCCAGCAGATCTGCCCCTAGCAGATTTTAAGGTGGTTGGGTAGGTTTGAACTGCTGACCTTTGGGTTAGTGGCCTTTCAATACTTGACCCACTACCTTTGAGGAGATCCCAGCACACAAGGGTTGTGTGAAGCAGTCTAGTTATCACAGAGGGAGCTGACTGCTGAGTGTGTCTCCCTCCAAGTGGCTTGTGGGTTTGAACTGCCGACATTTGGTTTACTGCCCAGCACGCAAGTGAGGCTTGCCACCGAGGCTCCTGTGTGAGACAGCTGGGGCTTTGACTCCACAGCCAGGCCTGGAGAAGGGTTCTGCCCAGAAGTGGAGGCAGGAATAAAGTTCAGTTTACCCAGGGGGCCTGGCGGCGCTGCTTTTTCACTGGGCCTCGTGGCCTGGAGCGGTCTGCCCCACCCTACCTAGTCTTGCCCATGGGAGCTAGCCTGCCCAGATCACCCCAGGGGGTGGGGGCGGGGTGCTCCTCCCCCTGGGCTGGGCTGGCCTGCTTTCACCATCCCTGAGATAACAAGTCAGGCCCCTCCCCAAGGGCTCCTTGGAGACCCTGGCCCTGCCACTCGCCCTCTGAACTCAGTGCTGGGAGCAGGGCAGACGCTTTTACTCCGGAGATCGTACCTGGCAAGGACAGACCCTCCAACAGTCTGGTGAGATGGATGTGGATGGGGAGGGGATTGCTTGAGCTCAGGGTTTAGCTGGGGAATGAGAGGCAGACGCTGTGGGAAGGTGGGTTCGGGGGGCCCTCGGAGCTCAGGGCAGGGGCGAAGCCCCCAGGAGCGGACGCAAGGGAGCTTCTTTCCCAGCTGCTGTGTTCCAGCCCGGCTCCACTCGCATCAGCTGGCCAATGTGGTTTGCCTCTCCAGTGGTCCCACAGTCCAGCCTTTCTCACACTGGGAGGTGAATTGAGTGGCCAAGCCAAATTGGCCTGGCTGGCGCTGGGGTGTGGGGGTAGGGTGAGAGTGGTGGGGTTTGGGGTCCCTTCAGCCACCAAGCAAGGTGGTGGATGAGGTTTGCAGCCCCTGGCTCCAGCGGAGGGTCGCCCAGACCAGCCTGTCCCGTATGCTGCCAAGCATTCAAGGGTTTGCCCTGCATGCTGGAACCTTACCCTAAAGGTTAGAGACTTTGATTGGTGGTGGTGGGCGCCTGCAGAGGGACTGGCCTAGAAGCAGTAAAGCCGTCAAGGGTGGTATCCGAGGGATGTGGTGTTGCTTTCTGGGGAGGGGGGCCAGGGTGGTCTGTGAGCGCCCATCATCTTTCGGGTTTTTCATACCGGTAGTCACTGGGCGGGGGCATGTGGCCTGGAGGTCAGAACAGGGCAAGGTGGAGCCTCAATCAGCATTCAGTGGGCCACTTCCAGTGAGGGGTGTGACGCACAGTAGGTGCTTGTTTCTTGCTTTTGAGTGAGTGTGGGGGAAGTGGAAGTGGAAGTAGCTGAGCCAGAAAAGCCCCCCCGTATCCCTTCCTGTGTCCCCCCTCTTAAGGGCAAGCAGCTGTCCCATCCCTTATGTGCTTGTTGAGTTAGCTCCTACAATGAAAGAGAAGGCAGAAGGAGCTGGGGGCTTGGTGGCCCCTCTCCATGTGGACACAAGTGGGGCCAGGCCAAAGCCTAGCCCAGCCGGAGCCTGTGGACTCAGCCCAGGTGCCCGAGCTACCCTCAGCTGTGGCAGCTGCCCTAGTGTGCTGCCCAGGAGGGGCACAGCGGCCCTCAGGTGTTGATCAGCCTGTGGGCCCAGCAGGGGCTGCAGCTGCCTGGTGTTCAGACCAGCTGGCTACCAGTTCTGGGCATGGGGGGTGCCCATTTTCCCCAGGAAGGGCAGTGGGAGGCTCTGAGGGGCCCCAGCTAGGAGCCACCTGGGGCACAGCAGGCTTAGTTAGCCCTGAGGCCTGGCTGCAGGAGGCCCTGGCTGCATTCCTAAGCCAGGATTGGTCACTGGCCAGGCCTGCCTTAGTGAGCTTGGACTCCTAGTGGCTTCCTGACAAGCCTGTTGTGGCCACAGCTGAGGAGTGATGACTAGGCAATTGGAGGAGGGGGCCTCTGGGACCCATGCTCCTTCTCTTTGGCCTCAGGTTCCCTTGGAGAAAGAAGGGAAGGGCTGGCTTCCTCAGATTTGGCTCTGGGCATGGTTAAGACCTAGGACCTGTTCCAGGAAGGCCTCTTCTAGGTGGGCCTGGTGTGTGGTTCTGCCTCTTACAGGAGCGTTTCTACCCTTAGGTGGGTAGCTTTGTGCTCTTGGGCGCTGGCCAGGACCCTTGGGCTGCCCTGGGCTGGTAGGGTTCTTCTTGGATTATGTGTCTGCTCTTAATGACCTCACTGCCCATCCCCATGTTTTGGGTGCTGATGGCTTCTGTCAGTGGGTGCTCATTCCAGAGAGACTGGCTGAACTCCTCACCTTCTCTTGGGGGTCTGTTCTGTAGCCCGGTGTTGAAGAGCAGGTGGAGGTGGGAAGCCTTCTCAGCTGCAGGCAAGGCCACACAACCCTTTGAGGCCCCTGGTGTGGTGCCAGCAGGTGCTACGCTCAGCTCTTTGTGCCACACTGCTTGCATGGGGGGGTTCTGGTGGTGGAGCTAGGGCCGGGACTGGGGCGGGGACTGTGCACCCCTGGCCGCTACAGCATGGACCTGGAGCTGTTTCCAAAGGCCCACATTCCTTGCATGTGCTGACGCTGATAAGGACTGGCCTGGCTGCCTCGGACAGAAGGGGACTTTGACTTCACACCCCTGGCCGTAGTGCACACCTCCTGCTAGCACCCTCCCCCACCTCGCCCACTGACCACTCTATCCGGGCAGGGTCATCTCCCATGTTGGGGTGGCCTGTGTGGGGGTTCTGTGAGTGGGGCTACAGCCAAATATCCCCTGATTCCCTATGAACCCCTGCAAACGGAATGAAATGCCCAAGTCCTACATTGTTCCCCACGTCCTCTTCAGCCTAGCATTTCTAATCATGTTGTGTTGTATGTCTGATCTGTAGGATTTTTTTTGTTTTGTTTTTTTGAACCATAGGATTTTTCATGGACTTGTTTTTGGAAGTGGATTTCCAGATCTTTCCTGCTGGTCTATCTTAGTCTGGAAACTCCACTGAAACCTATTCTTCAGCCTCCTGCTGACAACACACACGCCGCCATCAGCCGACGGCAGTGGCCGTGCATGAGGTGTGCAGGCCAGGACTTGGGGGTTAGGGGGTCCCTGGCACGGAGGATGAGAGAATTCCATTACCATCCCACCAGTGCCCTCAGCATGCCTCCTTTGAGCTGGGACCTGGCCTGCAGCTTCATTTTGACTGGGAAGCCCAGCTGACATCATGGGGTGATTCACATGTGGGGAATGTCACCAACTGGGAAAACGGCTCAAACACCAGTGTTTTTCAGGGAAGCCGTTGGCCCGCTTTGCTGCCCCTGGTCAAATTGAGGTTTCAAGTGGGAATTCGAGTTTTGGAAATCTTGTCTCTTCCGGATTGTTCTGATAAAGGCACTGCTAGGATGTTGACATCTGTGGGCTTTTTTCGGGGGTGGTGGCAGGGGTGGTATGGTGCAGTATAATGTGAAGAGCCCTGGTGGTGGTAGTGGTTACGCCTTGGGCTACATTCATATGGTTGGCCCGTCGAGACCACCAGCGCTCCGAGGGAGAAAGACTGGGCTTTTTATTCCGGTAAACAGTTACAGTCTCGGAAACCCACAGGGAGTCGCTATGAGTCAGCATTGACTCGTTAGCAGTGAGTAGTGGAATGTGATGGCCTTTGGAAGAACTGGAAGTCAAAACCAACCCTGGTGCGGTGGAGGGGATTCTGACTTGGCGACCATCTAGGGCAGGCAGGGCAGAACTGCTCCCTAGCCTTTCTAAGGCTACAAATCTTTACAGGGAGCACACCAGCCTCATGGCTCTACCTCGGCAGGGTGGCTGGTGGTTTTGAACCAAAGACTTGTGGTAACCAGCCCACCAGGGCTCCTTTCATGCCAACACATAGCGACCTTAGAACAGCGTAGAACTTCCCCTGTGAGTTTTCGAGACTGTAACTCTTTAAACCAAAGTTAAACTCATTGCCGAAGAGTCATTGCTGACTCATAGTGACCCTTCGTAGGTTTCCTAGACTATATACTTTATGGTAGTCGAAAGCCCCATTTTTAGCTTGAGGAGCCTCCAGCTGGTGGTTTTGAACTGCTGACTGTGCGGTTAGGAGCCCAGTTCATAGCCACTATGACACCAGGACTACTTTCATGAACTTCATTCAGTATTTTCCGGATGACTACTCCCCTATAGTACAAGGTCCAGCCCGGGTCTGGGTGCCAGGCAGAGCAGTGGACTTCAGCTTAACAATCGTAGCGGGAGGAATCAGCTGCCAGCGTTTTGGATTCTACATTGCTGCTCACTTTGGAGACACTTCCACTTATGCGCTTTGGGGGCGTTATCAGCAAAGAGCAGCGGCAGTTATCTGAAAGCTTACTGGAATACCCTCCACGCCCCCTACCAAGCAGAAAGGAGAGAGCCCCGCTCCCCTCTTAGCCCAGTATAAAGGAAGTTTACAGAAGTCTAAAACACAGCCACTCTTAGCACAGGTTTTTTTTTAACTCTTTTGAAACATTTTTATTTTTCTTAGAAAATGTCGTGTATGTTGAAATGGGCGTATGATCGCTACTCTACAGCAACTAAAAATTTTTAAGTGTGGGTTTTTGAAATAGATTAGCAGTAATACCTCAACCATATTAGCAACACCTCTGTGGGCATGCCTGTTGTTTTGTGTATACACAGAACATCTGCCAGTGTAACCATTTTTACATGGCTGGTCCTGTGAATCCTGATGGCGGAGTAGTTAAGTGTTATGCTGCTAACCGCAAGGTCAGCAGTTCGAATCCACCACCTCCTCCTCCGAGAGAGAGAAAGGACTTTCTACTCTTGTAAAGAGTTACAGAGACTTAGAGGAGCAGCCCTCTACCCTGTCCTATGGGGCAATGTGAGTTGGCATCAACTTGATGGTGATGAAGTTCTTTTTTTTCAGCCCTGGTGGCATAGTGGTTACGGGTTGAGCTGCTGACCTCAGGGTCAGCGGCTCAAAACCACCAGTCACTCCTCGGGAGAAAGATGGGGCTTCCTACTCTTGTAAAGAGTTACAGTCTCAGAACTCACAGGGGCAGTTCCACCCTGCAGTATAGGGTCCCTATGAGTCGACATCGACTCAGTGAGTTTGACTTTGAGTAAGTGCTTCCTGTAAGGAAGAAAGATGAAGCTGTCTGCTCCTGGAAAGATTTACAGCCTTGGAAACCCAAATGGGGCAGTGCTGCTCAGTCGGAATGGGAATGGCGGCAGCAGGTTCGGTTTGAAGCGGCCCACAAACCAGGACTGAGCCCTGCATTTGACCTCCCTGATCCTCACCACCACCATGGACCTTTTCTCTCTCCGTGTGGCTGTCATCTGCTCACCTGGCAAGCAGTGAGTGCCTGCCTGCCTGGCATCCTCCTGAGGACCCTGGGCCTGTTGGCTGTTCAGGAGGGGGCCTCCTCTACCATGGGAGCCCCGGCAGCGGGGGAGGGTGCCGGGGGCAGGGTGCCCCCAGCAGCTAGGAGTAGTTGCCACCAGGTGGGCTGGGCCACCCTGGGACGTGGCAGTCACTGCAGGAATCCACATTGGCTTTTAGTAGTGAGTGGAGTGGGTTTGAGGAAGCTATTGGGACAGGGCTAGAGCCTGGAGGGGAGTTAGGGCTTTTTCCCACTACAGCCCGGCCCCTGGCAGTGTCGAGGACTCAGTATCCGAGTACTTAAACCAGAGTCGAGTGCTTGAGCCCACCTTCCTTTCCAAGGGAAAAAGATAAAGACAGTTTAGTCCCGGGAAGATGAACAGCCTTGGCAATCCTAGGGAGCAGTTTATTTTCCTAGGTCTTTTAGGAGTCCAGCTGCTTAGTGGTTATGTGTTGGGCTGCTAACTGCAAGGTCAGCAGTTTGAAACCACCCGCTGCTCTGAGGGACCAAGACTGGGTTTTCTACTCTGATAAAGCGTTAGAGCCTAAGAAACCCACAGGAGCAGCTCTGCCCTGTCCTACACGATGACTGAGTCAGAATGGTCTCAGTGGCAGAGGGTTTGTTGTTTAAGTTTATAGGGGCATTATGAGTGGAATCCACCCTCTGGCAGCGGGACTGAGTTTGGGGTTTAGCTTTAGCTCTGCTCTCTTTCCCTGCTCCAGGGGAGCCTAGGGCTCTCCCTCTGGGTCCCTCAGGAATGGACCCTCTGGACTTTTAGGACAGCAGTGTTTTCTGGCTGGTCTCCCATGGGACAACTGTCATTCACGTGTCAGGGAGCTCTCTTGAAAGCCCTGAGCAGAAGAGGGCGCTGCCCAGAAAGACAGTGCAGGTCCCACCTGCCTCCTTCCGGAAGGCAGCAGTGACCCTCACTGTCACTCGGGTTCAGCTTGGCAGCTGGGGGGTGACACTGGGCTATTTTACAAAGAAACAGACGCCCTTATTTCCTTTGCTCCCTGAACGCCCCTGTGCATCTTCCTGCCAGAGCCTCCGCACGGTCAGATTGTGCGTGCAGGCCTCTTCTCAGTTTCCCCACCGGGGACCCCGGGTGGCGAGGAGTCTGTTCCAGGGGCCAGCATTACTGTGCTTTTCTTCTGGTGTGTGCTGGGGGTGGGGGTGGGTGATGTCGCTAGCATTCGGTTTTGGGGAATAGAGTGGCAATGCACTGGATTGCTAACTTACAAGGTCAGCAGTTTGAAACCACCAGCCACTCCGAGGGAGAAAGATGAGGCTTTCTACTCTTGTTTTGTTTTTTGGCTTTCTACTCTTGTAAAGAGTTACAATCTCAGAACCCCACAGGAGCTATTCTATAGTGTTCCTCTGAGTCGGAATTGACTTGAAGGCAGTGGATATAGCTTGGTCTGGCTGTTGGTCATGTGTGCCCATTATCACCTGGGGTGACTGAGGTCACCCCGGCCCTCATGGGGCCCCTGCTGTTGAAGAGCATTTAGATGTTTTCCTGGTGTTCCTTACTTTGCTGCCTTGTTAGTAGCTAGCCCTCTGACTGGGAGTTTGTCTCCTCAGTCTGCAGGGACCCTCCCCTCCTGCCCTGTCTTGGACCCTCTCTTTCCAGAGTGCCTGTCGGAGGCTGGCCAGCAGTTGCATGTGCTGTGGCAGCCATCGAGTTGGTTCTGACCCATCGTGGCCTGTACACACAGAAGGAAACACCGGCCGGCCCTGTGCCCTCCTCACAGTTGTTCCTGTGCTTCAGCCCTGTGTTGTGTCTGCCATTTTCATCGTTAGCACAGGAAGCTGCTCATAATCAGCTTTCCAGAATTCTCTAGCTGGGGCCTGGTGACTGAGACCCTCTTCCCAAGGGGGGCAGTTAGGGCAGATTGTCATTCCTTCTCCACCTGTCCTGCCAAGGTGCCGTGGTTCACAGGGACAGTTACCCTTAGCTGGGGGCTCCTGAGCGCTTCCACCTGAACCAGGTCTACTTGCCTCTTTGAACCTAGATGTCACACCTCCTTCCCTTCTGTCCGTGGCAAAGACGTTGCTAAAGGGCTCTCATCTGCTCTTTCTTGGGAAGGACTCCTCTTTGGTGAGGTGGTACCTTTTGCTTTTTTGGTCATTGAAGTGTTTTCTTTGACGAATACATGACAGCTTCAAATGTATTATTATTGGAGTGTCTATTTGGTATAAGGAGTCCCTGGGCGGCCCAAATGATTTAGCTCTCAGCTGCTAACTGGAAGGTTGCCCCTTTGGTCCCTGGTGACAGAATGGGAACATGAGGGACTGTTAGCTGCAGGGTCAGCAGTTTGAAGCCAGCAGGCACTCTGTGGGAGAAAGACTTTCTATTCCTGGAAAGAGCTACAGGCTCAGAAACTCACAGGGGAAGTTCTGCCCTGTCCTATGGAGTTGCTGTGAGTTGGCATGGCAGTGACCCTGACTTTTTTTTTTTTTGGAGAGGTGTCTCAGCAAAAGGTCCAGCCGTTGACTTCCCGGACTGAGTCTCCAGCCGTGGAGGGTTTTCCTCTGACCCAACCTGAGTGCCATACGGCAGAGTCTGCCCCTTGGTTGGCAACTGATGAATGCTTGCTTGGTCCAAGAATTTGTCAGCAGTTAGGTTGGTTTTATCTGTTGTTGTTTGTTTTTTTACTAAGCTGGTTTTGGAGCCCTGGTGGCACAGCAGATTGTAAGTACTGGGCCCAGAGCCACACAGCTGACATGGTTCAAACCCGCTGCTCAGTGGGAGAAAGATGAGGCTGTCTGCCCTTGTAAAATGTGACAGCTTTGGGAGCCCCCTGGAGCAGGTTGATTCTGTCCTAGAGGGTCACTGTAGTCAGAATTGTCTGGGCGGCAGTGAGCTTTCACCTGGATGGAAGGAGCCCTGGCAGCATAATGGGTGGAGCATTGAGCCACTGATCCCAGGGGAGGCGAGGCCGTTCAAACCCACCTGAGAGTCCTTAGGAAAAAGGGGAAACTGCTTCCACAAAGATGGACAGTGTCAGAAGACGCAGGGAGCCGGTGTATTCTGTCCTGCCAGGTCGCTGTCAGTTGAAATCTATCCACAATGGTGAGTGTGGCTGGGGTGGAGTTGTTGTAGGTGCGCACAGCTGCAGAGTCTCCCCTGCGGCCCCAAGATTGGTGTGTTGTGCTTCTATTTTCCCCTGGCGTAAGTCTTTCCTGAGTTTCCTCTTGATTTCTTGCCTGACTAATTGGTTATTTATTTAGTGCACTGTCGAATTTCCTTATTTTGGTAAGGTGTTCTTCCCCCCCCTCCCGCTGCTGTTCATAATGTCTAACTTGGTAGTAGTGTCTTTTGTATGCTCTCACGCTTTTTAAGTGTATTAAGACTTCCATTGTGTCAGCATGGGGGTGGGCCCTCCTGGAGAATATCTTACCAGCCCTGGAGTAGTAGTGTGTGTGCATTATGCTGTTGTAGGCCTGCCTAGTGGTTTACGAGGTCGTCCAGGACCTCTGTTAACCTTCTCAACTTTCTAGATGTCCTGTCCACTATTATTGGAAGCGGTGTTTTGAGGTCTCTGGCTATTGTAGAGCTGTTGCCTTTCAATTCCATGTTTGCTTTTCATATTTTGTTGCTGTGAGGTTAGGTGCATATATATTTACAGTTGCTATGTTTTCTTGGCGGCTGGCCTTTTTATCACAACATATGTGTCCACCTTTGTCTCTGACAAGAGGTTTTGGCTTACTGTCTATATCGTCTGATATTAAAACAGCAAACCCAGGTTCTTTTTGATTACTATTTTCAGGAGATATCCCCCCCCCCCATCTTCTTTTACCGTATATACTCGAGTATAAGCTGACCCGAATATCAGCCAAAGCACCTAATTTTACCACAAAACTGCACAAAAGTGCTGAAAAGCTCAACTTATACATGGATATATATACGGTATTTGTGTTGTTAGCCCCAAGATGTGTCTCTTGTAGACAGTGTATAGTTGGAGTGTGATTTTAAAAAAAAACAAAAAAACTTATGCCAATCTCTGCCCTTTTTGATTGAAGCATTTACTCTATCCACAATCACAGTTATTACAGATAAGGAAGTGCTGACTTATGCCATTTTATGATTTGATTTTTATGTGTCTTACACCTTCTTTAAGGAGCCCTGGTGGCCCAGTGGGCTGTGCACTGAGCTGTTAGCCAAAAGGTCAGCAGTTTGAACCCACAGTTGCGTCATTGGAGGATGACACTGCCCGCTCCTGTAAAGAGAAACCCATGGGGGGGTAGGCAGTTCTGCTCTGTCTTACAGGGTCGCTCTAAGTCAGAATTGCCCTGATGGCAGTGAGTTTTGAATTTTATACCTTTCCTCTCATGCTGCCAATGTTTAGGGCTAACTTGAAGCCATCCGCAACCCTGCAAGGGAAAGGTGAGGCTGTCTGCTCCTGTAAAGACTGACCATTCTCAGAAATCCTAAGCAACGTTTCTCCTCCACCCTTGGGGGGAGGTGGGGGTGTCTCTGGCCATCTACTCACCCGAAGGTTGATAGTTTGAAACCCACCCAGAGGGGCCTCAGAGGACAGGGATGGTGGTCTGCATCCCAGAGGTCATAGCTGTGATGACTGTGGGGTGGCCCCACTCTGGACATGAGGGGTTAGGGATGGCAGGTTTCCTTTGCTTTGTGCTGGGGGGGGTGTGCAGCTTCCCCGTGCATCTCCCCCCACGCTGGTCTCTTTGCTTGGGGCCACGGTGCAGAAGCAGTGTGGGGGTGGGTTTGGCGGGGGCGGTTAGAGTCAAGCAGGGGTTCTGTCTTCATCATCACCATCCTGAATAATTAAGTCCCGGGCTTTTCCAGTGCCTGCCAGCCAGCTACCTGTCATCCAGCCTCATCCTGGCCACGCTCTGCCGACCCCAGAAGTAGGATGGTGAGCGGCTGGGCAGTCCACCTGCTGGTGCGTTCTGGGGTGGTGGAGCCACTTGAAGCTCTGTTGTCTTGACCTAAACAGCCTTTTGTTGTGACTTGAGCGAAGGCTTACAGCTCAGACCAGCAGTCTCCCCTTCAACCATTCAGGTACATTTTTGCCTCATTGTGGCCCCTCAGTGCACCTCCCTCCCTCATCCCACTTCCTCCTTGGGTTTCCGGTTTCCATTCCTCCTCCTCACCTCACCCTCTGTTCTCAGGTAGTTGATGATTCTTAAGAGTGCTGTCTCGTAACTTGCCCTTTTCTAAATGAATTCTCTAGACCAGTGATTCTCAACCTTCCTAATGCCCTGACCCTTTAATAGTTGTGACTCCCAACCATAAAATTATTTTCGTTGCTACTTCATAACTGTCATTTTGCTACTGTTATGAATTGGGCGACCTCTGTGAAAGGGTCGTTCAACCTCCAAAGGGGTCGCGACCCACAGGTTGAGAACAGCTGCTCTAGATATTTCCAAGCTGCGGCACAGGCAAGAAACTTGCTGCCCAAGCACTGATGGGTTTTTCTGGATCGCAAGCCCAGGTGTTTTGAGCGAGATGCATGCTCTGTGCTGGGAGGCCCCAAGTGGCCACGTTCACAGGAAACCCAATGCTGTCAGGTTCCCATGGGGCAGAGTCCAGGCTGGGGAAGGTTGGGGTTAGATCAGTGCCCTTCCATCCTGTTTCAGAGGGACCCTGCATCTCCTCTCGAGTGCACCCAAGCAGTTGTTGAGTAGCGGCTCGGGCAGAGGGCGGGGTGCCTGGCATCCTCAGAGGCTGGTGGGAAGAGCGCCAGGAACCGCTGGCCAGCATCCAGCTCCGGGCCAGATTACATGGCTTGGCATGCCCTGAGAATGGGCCCCACCCACCACCAGCCATGCCCGGAGGGACAGGATGCCGGGGTGACGGAGGGCACAGGGGTGCACCCTGGCAGCAGCCGCTCCCCGAGCAGTGGGGGGGGCAGGCTGCCCCAGCGCCCTCCTTGTGCCCTTGAGGTTGGGATTCAGGCACCCACTGTGAACAGATGGCAGATGGAGGCACAGAGCGCCTGCAGGCAGGCCCACTCCACATTACAGCCTCTAGGACCTTGTGTGGGGGGCAAGGGGCATTCATTTCCGGCCTCTCTCTCTGCCAAGGGCAGGTCACTTGTTGATTTTATCTGCAAGGCCAGAGATGCTTGTGGGGACAGCTCCAGCTCCGTATGTTCATGCCACAGTGGTGACCTTGATGTTGGGGTGTGGAGTGAGAATACATGGAGAGTGGTCCCCACTGAAGCTGAAAGGGGGGCGCTGAGCTCGGGGTGCCCTAGATGTCTCCTGGCCTTCACCCATCCACCTTCAGGGCCAAGTGGAGACAGTGCTTGGGGGTGGCTATCCTCACAGCCCCAACCTGATGGGGTGGAGTGATTATCTCGGGCTGGTCAGAACCCTGGTCTGTCAGATGGGCCCTGGGTAGTCCGTTCAGCTTCAGTCTGTGCCTCATGGCAGGAAGTCGTCTGGTGGGAGATGGTGAAGGAAGGGCATCTCCAGACCACTCCACAGGTCTGGCTCCCTGCACGCCTGGGGCAGATGTGCCCATGTGGGTGGGGACCACACCCTCTGAGGGTTCTGGCTATAAGGCAAGGCCTTGGCACTGGGGATTGCATCCAAGTGCCTGGCCCCTGAGCAGCCCGGGTCGAGCAGGAGCGCTGTGGTCTGTTCCTGGGATGCTGCCTGTTGTGGCAGCCGTGGTCACTTGTACCCGACTGCGTCCCACGGCACCAGTGAAGCTGTAGTAGCCCAGCTGACCCCCTTGGAGCTCCCCCATTGTGCCTCAGCAGCTTACCTTTTCGGGCCCATCAGGTGAGGAAACGGGCCGATCTGCACCCCTGGGTGGTCCAGAGCAGGGAGCTGGCTGCCTACAGCCACAGGGACACACCATTGCTAGGTCCTAATTCTGACCCTCCTGCCTGCTCGGCAACACACTCACTCAAACTCACTCACTCAACCACCCAACCCAGGTTACCTTGCCCTTGGCGGGTGGTCCCTTATAAAAGCTTGGCTATGGTATGCATGGACTGAGGGTCCCCCTGGGCTCCCCTTCGCCCCCCAGGACACATGAGATTGACAGAATAGCTGCTGGGTACTCTGGGTGGTCTGGGGAACACCAACTGGGCTCATTATTTGGGTCACAGTTGGCCCGGTTTTTTTTCCAAGGCGCGTCTGGGTGGGCTGAAACCTCAGACTACCCGGGAGCAGCCAAGCTGGGCACTGAGGCTGCTTCCCCACACAGAGCCAACACACGTAAAACAAGCCAGAGGAGAACCCATGGCTGCAGGTGATCTGAGTCATAGCAGCCTTCCCTGTAGACAGGAGTGGGATGGCTCCAGAGTGTATCCGAGGCTGGTGGTCTTTATGGAATCAGACTCCTACACCTTTCTTTCTCCCCCAAAACGGCGGGTGGGCTTGAACTGCTGAATTTTTGGTTAACCCAATGTCTCACCTACTGTCGAAAAGCCAAACTCACCGCCATCCAGTTGATACTGACTCAGAGTGACTCTCTCGGACCAGGTAGAACTGCCCCTGTGGGTTTCTGAGACTGCAGTGTTTGCGGGGAGTAGAAACCCTCAACTTTCTCCGAGGAGTGACTGGTGCTCTCAGACTACTGGCCTTGCAATTAGCAGCCCACCTGGGAGCCTCTGTGCCACCTGAGCTCCTAGCAACCCACTGGAAGTACCCAGTCATTGTTAGCTGGTGTTGCTTGTGGTTGGAAGAGGGGCCCTGCTTTAGGGTTTTTGGTTTTTGCTTGAAATATAATTTACATACTGTGAGCTGCCTGGCTCACAAAGCACCTCCCTTGAAAAATTCCAACCCAAGCCTCCACCTTTACCTACACTCCTGTCCTCAGAGGGCTGTCCCTCTCTTGAGGGCGTTGCCTGTTGTGGAATTCTGCTGTGGTTTTTAGGGCCATAAAGGTCCTTCAGACTAGATTAGAAACATAAAGGAGTGATGTTTCTCTCAAGCTGCTTGTAACTTTACCACCACCACCCCCCCCAGGTGACCTGCCTTAGCTGTGGCTGGTGGGGTGGTGAGTGAAGTGTTGGGGCTGCTAATTTGAGCCCACCAGCCCGTCCTTGAGGCTGTCAAGATTCACAGCCACCGATATCTTGGGGAGCAGCTCTGCTCTGTCCTATGGGATTAAAATGACTGGGATCAACTCAGTGGCAGAGGGGTGAGTTTGGGTATGGTGCCTGCCCCTAAGATGGCTTCTTCCCCCTCCTCTCCTCCCCTCCCCCCCCAACCCCATGGTTGTTGGAGCCTGGGCTCTGCGTAGATAGACCTGCTGGGGGGGCGGGGAGGGGGGGAGTGGCCGTGCTGAAAGCAAAGGGGAGCCTTCAGCCTCCCTGCTCTGCTCGAGCACTGGGTCAGCTGCCATACTGTGGCTGGACTTGTGCTCCCTGAAAAGCTGGGAACCAGGGGTCCAACCTGGGAGCAACGCCTGTCCCCACTGGCCAGCATAGCCTGGGCCAGCTGACCCACTGCCCTAGCTTCTGGGTGTAGCAGAGCTGGCATGTCAACAGCAGCGGGCCGAGACAGGCATGCGGGCCTTGGCACCTACTGGCACGTGGCCGTGGCTTGCTTCCAGGGCCTGCTGGGTGCCAGGAGCCTCGCCAGGTGCTGTCCTCATTTTAG